TTGACAAGATCCTCCATTCTCACAATAGGTCGATGTCCTATTTTAGGGGTGTTATGTAACTATCTCAAGGTCACACAGCCTAGCACCAGCTGAACAAGGCCTAGAAGTTTTTTGGGTTACTTAAAAAAATTTTTTTTTCTTTTTACTTAAGCCATTAAATCCCATTAACTGTATTTCTAGAGTGAAAGTCCTATGCCAAGTTGAAATGGATGCTCAGTAGAAGGGGCCAGGATTAAATGCCACAGACTTTCTAGAGCAAGACAGTATCTGAATCTATAAGAGGGAGACCAGAACAGCAAAGCTTGTCTAAAACCACCGGTGGCCACAGTACCATACCTTTCAGTAATGTTGCATCGGTTAGCTTGTTGTATAGTGCAAGCCTAAAGCTAAAAATGTGGTTCAAAACAAAATAGGAGGTTTCTCTAACCTCTAATTTAACTGTGCGAGGTCTCGTTATTAATTAATAGGTGCCTTCACCAAGGACAGTTTAAGAAAATCAGACAACTGCCAGGTTGCTTCCTATTCCTCTCGACTTCTTATTGGATAATTTTTATCAAGTGAGCTAAGCACACATTTTCCTGTAACTCAGTTATTCAGCAAAAAACATCCAAAGCTACTTAACTGACGCAAAGCAAACAAACGCAATAGCCCTGGTTGTGATGCTTTCCATTTAAAGGGACACTCCCTTCCTTTAGAGTCGCCTTCCCCGCACCACCACTGCACCAAGGGCTAGTCTGTTGTTTAAAATAAACACTTAAAAGGTTGACATTGAGTGGTATTAAAGAGCCTGGGTTAATGAAGTAAGATGAATCAGTTAGGTGAAGCACTTAATGTTCCAATAATTACATTAACAGCCTCCCCCTCCCCATTTCAAACGTCCAAATCCAGCCCTTCTCTTGGGGCGAGGGGATGGGGGTGGGGGGGGAGGGCGTTAAACTTTGTGGAATCCCGGTTTTGTAAGGATATTGACACAATAGATGCTTGGCAATTAAGCTAGAATTCCACTGCATCTCCCCCCTTTAAAGGGACAACTTTATTTTTGAGGGAGCCCACCTAACAATTTTATGTTCAGTCATCTGCAGAGAGCAGAACCGGCCAGGCTTTTCCTTTCGGAATCTAAAGTAGAAGCTTTATTTCACTGCAAGTTCTCTGTGACATTTTGCACTCTCGTGATTTAATGCACCAAAGAGGATCTTTAACTCTTGGTCTACACCAGTGCAAATAAAGGTTAAATCTCTCACTAACCATCATGAACTAGCCTAATAACTCACGAGAGGCTATGGAAAAAGAAACCGAGGGAGCAGCTGTGCAGACTTGATTAAAACGTACAAAACCCGCACAACCGCAGGCAAAGGTCCTGCATCCTCACATAGTCCTAGTACCGGCTGCGAGGTCCGCAAGCAGGGGAACTTCCACCGCGCCAAAAACACGATCCTGCGAGCAGGGCCTAGTAACACTGGAGCTTTTCTTCCGAACGGTGTGCAGACCGGAGCCTGCGCTGAATGCCGGGGCTCCTATTGGCCACGCACCGTGGGGGAGGAGGAGACTGGCGGGCAGGGAGACGGGAGGAGGGGAGAAGGGGGCAAGGCCCGGTCCCTGCCCCCTCCCCGCCCCCTCCGCAGGCTGCCGCCGGCGCCGAGTGCGTGGTTACTATGCAAATTGCAGCGATTGCGGAAATAAACAAGGGGGTAGGGAGAGGAGAGAGGGACTGCGAATCGATTGCAACTTCTGCAAAGTCTCGTACAATCCAAAGCACACAAGGCAAAACCAGAGAGAATCTGAGAACCAGCCAGCCCGGGTTGGATTGCTATCAAAAGAGGAGGAGAGAGAGAGAGAGAGAGAGAGAGAGAGAGAGAGAGAAGACAGTGAGAGAGGCAGAGAGCGCGCATTGCAATTGCAAAAGCCTTCTGATTTGGAGTTAAAAAAAAAAAATCTCCAAGAAGCCTGCAATTGGCCAACAGCTTTAAAAAAAAATCTCTTCCGGGTTTTCAACGGTTCCAAGTTTATTTAGATCTTTTTTTTTAATGCAAAAAAGGGGGACAACAAATGAAGCCATTCGTCTGAACATTTTAAAGTTTCTCACGTACTCTTTTTACATTGCAATGGTACGTGGTACATCTTAAACTTTCTATTTTGCGTTTATACGATGTGTGTTTTATAAACAACAATAATGGTAGAATGGTTTTGTTTAATGGCTAAGACTTTAAAATTTCTCTGGCTTGCATATGCATTTAAGTGATTGCTGGGTGAATGTTTATTGTGATGGTTTTGTTTTAAAGACGTAGCTTTGTGGATGGCTTTTTTTTTTTTTTTTCTATGTGCATCAGAGACCGGGTTTCCTTTTTTTTTTTTTTTTTTCCTCCCCGAGATTTGAAAAAATTGCTGAGCTTGACAGATTTTTTTCCTCCTAGCGCTTGCTCGGTTCCAGAAAGGGGGAAAAAAATCCTGTACGTGCTCTGTTCTGTAAAAAGACGTCTGGCCTCAGCAGTCAACCTAACTCGAAAAGAAATGTCTGGACCCGGAGAATAATTGACGATTCGATCCTCTAATCAATGGGACAACATGGGAGATTGACAAAAGCTTTATCCAATCGTGAGGAAGCCTGGGTGTACAATGGTTCTCAGTAGCCAGAGGGGGCGGGGCAGAAAAGATCTAAAGTTCTCTGCGGCTCTGAAGGGGATGGTGTGGTTCAAGCTGTCAAAGCTACAAGCTCTTCCGGATTTAGCAAGCACAATAGGAAAGAGTTTTTGAGTTTAAGAAAAAAAAAAACTGATTGGGGGAATTTTTGCATGAATTGTAATGCTTTCCTAATTGCCTTTCGGAGAAAGTTAGAAAAACTCTTCTAGGGAAATATTAACTTTGCATTATTATTTTTGAATTCGGGGAAGCTTTTAACTGTTGTGCAAGGGGAGGTTCAACTTTTAAAAATGCGTGGCTTAAAAACTTGCCTGAACTATCCAGGAGAGTACTGAGCTTTGGAAAGTCACATATTGGATAGGCAGCATTACAAACTTCCCTGGTTATCTTAGAAGCTTTGACTTTTCAAGTACTTCGCAGGAATAGGCAAGCCTCTCTTCCTGAACTCCAAACAGTAGTTTTAGGGGAGATAGAATGTTTCACAGGTGGATTGACAGCTGTTTTATATATTTGAAAGGAGGAAGGGGAGAAAGTGTTTTTTTCTCCACTCTTCTTGAATTCTGCTGTTTAAATATATGGTCGGTACCAAATAGGATATTAAGGCTGGCCAAGTTCACATTTGTTCTTGTTACCACAACAACCCCTGTGGAGGGTGTGTGTGTGTGTGTGTGTGTGTGTGTGTGTGTGTGTGTGTGGAAGATTGTTGACTTGCTAACTCTTAGCTGGAGTCTGGCCTCTTGGACAAGTCTTTGATACCAATCCAGTGGAAGCCAACTGCAGTAGCTTGTCTTGGAGACAGTAACTGGCAGCCTCTGACCAAAGTACATCCATCTCTTCCTTCCCTCTGAGCACCTAATTCTGTTGGGAACCGAATGGAAAATAAGTATGGGCTCTTTCCCATCTTTGGATTAAATTCCCATCGAGCTATTTCCCAAGGCTTTAGGCCTTCTAATCAAATCTGGTTTGGAAATTTGACGTTAAAATCCACTTGGATTCTCAGTTCAGTGACATTATTCAATTTAGTATTATATGCATCTAAGAAAGATCTGCACACAAGTGACCAGCAGGTCAAAAAACTAGAGAAAAATATTGGAAAATGCTAGTGATAAAGTTAGTCTTGGTAACAACTACAGAGTTAATGGCATTGTCACTTATGAACCCCAATTTTATCTTCACTGCTTTGGGCATTAAAATCTAAATCATATTAATAAGATCTTCCTACCAAGTAACCTCCCGAAATGAGAGGTATTTGAGCTGTACATATAAGTGAAACCTTATTGACGTAATTTATATATCTAAGAGGATTTCACTAAAGCTGGCAAGGTAACATTTCTGCAAATAAAACACAGTAAATGCAAGGCTGGGCTCTGTGCCAGGAAGAATATGGATAGCAGAGAGCATGACAGGAGCCTCCTTTGCGCAAAGACAATCCCATTTCAAGGCAGCCTCCTAGCACTTGCAAAATAAATGATTGGAGCGGTTATTTCCAATAAGGGGTTTATCCTTCCTAACAATGGTTCATTTATGTGATTGCAGGAAACTAGGTTTTGTACTTCACCTGTTTCCTACAACTGTTCTCTCTTACTATCCTTTCTTCCTTCTCCCCTCCTTCCATCCGAGCTCTCTCTCAAGTGTCTTTAGTATCTTTGTGAACTCTGGACAAGGATTTACTTTTGCAACTTGGGAAGAGGGGAGAGTTGGAAATGTTTTCTACCCCCAGACTGCCCTTTGCGGAACATCTGTTTCTTTGTGTGTGTGTTTAAATTTATGCCTGTTGGAGAGAAAGTTACCAGAAGCCTTTCTGTAACTGTAACTCTTCTACTGTATTTTTCTCAGTCTTGTTTCCAAAGGCTGTAGTTGGAACGGTGCTTTGTAGAGTTCCCCCCGCCTCTCCCCCTCCTGCCAAGCCCCCCCCCCCCATCCCGCGGGGGAGGGAGCGGGAGCTGGCGGAGATAGGAGAGAAAGCAGGAGCGGATGTGCAGGGCTTTGGTGCTGAACTTGGATCCAGCCCTTGCCTAGAGGGCGCAAACAATCGTCCCATATCCAAAAGTCTTACGAAGGGCGCCAAAAGTTACTTAAGATAATATTGCTAACCGCAGAGAGCTGGAAATCGCGGGCACGTTCACTGCTGCAACAAAAGAAGTTTTTAAACTAGAAATATCAGCATTAAATTACTTTTCCCTATTTTTAAAAACCAGGGCGGTGTTCCAATCCCTTAAAAAAAAAAAAAAAACCTTTTCTTTTTCTTAAGATTCGGTTAAAAGGAAGAATCTTTCTTGTTTTGGAAAGAGGCAGATGTGAACTCTATCTTTTAATACAGCAAAAGAAAGATTTTAATCTGCTCTGGAAGAGAGCTTCCCAAGAGTACACACGGAACAATAACTTCTCACTGTGCCTCAGTTACATGTTGGGACTGTCAGCCAGAAACTTCTATCGAGGAAACTTGGAGCGAGTTGAAGTTATAGATCCCAGCAAAGGTTTCCGTGGCCAGGGAGGGTGTCTCTGTAACTCAGCTTAGCTTTTAGGACATTTCTCTTCTGCTGAAATCCAAAAGGAACCAAGGAGAAGCAGTTATTTAGTTGGGGAAAATGGGACTCTCTCATTAAAGATTTAAGTCATTATCTCCCCTCACCCCTTAATAAATAATTTGAGACGTTTCCAAGGATGTTTAGGAGCGGGGTTTGTGAAGATGGTCTTGAGCATTCAGAAATTATTTTAGCCACAAAGCAACTGGAGAACAAGCATACAATGACTTTAGACACATGCAGAATATTTCAGAGGATTATATTTTGCTTTTTCCAGTAACAGATTTCTTGCCCCTTACTTAAAGGAAAAAAAAAAAAGGTGGAGGGTGCAGAGGGGAACGCAGTCTGAATGAGAGTGGCCTTAGCACGTCACCTCTCACTCACCTGCAGAGTGGGCATTCCTACAGGAGTTTCCCCTTTTCAGAGGCTCTCTGGCTCTGTAACCTCTGCCAAGGTGCAGATTTCCCAGTCTGTGTGCCAGTGTCTTTCACCCTGGTCTTTCCTCTTGGAATTTTGAGAAGGGTTCGCAAATGCAGCAGGCTTGCAAACTACAGTTAGGAAGATGGGGGATGATGAGATGGGATAGGGGTCAGGGAAAAAGAAGGGTTTTGTTGTTGTTGTTGTTGTTGTTCCATCAGAGAGGAAAGCCTGGAGAGAAAATATGAGGTTAAAAAAAACTGGAAAAGCAGGCTTATTGGCAACTTGCCAAACCCTAAAAACCACCCCCCTTTTATGCCAAAACAATACTTTAGCAAACCTAAAATAATTGCAGGAAGCTCTTTTCCATTTTAAGAATGATTACCTGGGGGAGGAAAAAAGAGGGGATTCTTAAAAGGCACCCTTCCAGAGGTGTCCCAGGAACGGGGACGGTAATGATAGCCTGTGTCCAGTTCTGGGCACGCGTCTGTGGACCAGAATATCTCCCTTCCCTTAGGGGACATCCCTTTCACATTTTTTTTTCCCTCCTAAAAAGAAAAAGATGTCACAGCTAAACCACTGTTGTTTCTGAACGTGATAGAACTTTTTCTATGGCGTCTGTGTTCAGACCCACTAGTTTCACAGTCCTGGGAGGGAGAACGCTCATTAATCTCCGCCTCCTTTTCTCCAGACACCCCCCCCTCTTTTACCGCCCCCCCCCAAATCCGATGACTCTTCTGTGTGAAATTATTCCCCACCACCCCCGCTTCTGAATGCCATAGGACTGAAGCTGCACAAAGTTTGCAGGATTTTGTGCATAATTACCTCTACCGACGATCTATTCCCACAGAAAGCTTCGCTGGAGAGATTACAATGCTTTGAGCCGTACCGCATTTCAGAAGGGGGGGGGGCGCGGAAAAGTTACCTAGGAGGTCTGATTTTTAAAAAAAATTTGCATACATGCAAATTTGCCCCCCCCCTGCCCCCCACCCCCCACCCCCCCCGGCCTGCTCCTCGGTTTTCTACGTGCGCACACAGCGAGCCGGGAGCGCAGGGCAACCTGGCAAAGTTGCCCAAGTCCTCCACCGAGGTCCGCGAAGGTCTGCGGCGGGGCTTGGGGGATGGGGATGAGGAAAAGTAGTTTTGTTTGCTTAAGCACATCCTGTGGCAGCCTATAGCTGCCCGGGAGTACAGACTGTAACTGCTCCTCACTGCGTTACCCAGTAATGCGCTGAGCGGGGAAGCGGGGGCGGGGGGGGCCGAGGGAGCGAGAGAGCCTGCGAGCGAGCGAGGGAGCGAGAGAGGGAGCGAGCGAGCGAGCGAGCGAGCGCGAGCGGCCGCGGAGGCTCGGGACCCGGCTGGCCGCGCGGCGCCGCAGCCGCCCCCTCCCCCACGCACCCCCCCCCCCCCCGGCGGCGGCGCGAGCGGGCGGCGGCTGTGCGGTGCGGTGCAGAGCGGTGGCGGAGGCGGGCGCGGGCGCGCGGGCAGCTCGCGGGCACCGGGCCGGGCGGGCGGGCGCGGGAGCGGGAAAGGGTGCGCTATGCCTTTAACGCCCGCGTACAGTAGACATGTATAGTGGAGTGTAGGGAAACTCTAGGCGGGGTTAAAGTTCAGCTCATGGAGCGGCAATCGCGCTGGCTGGCTGGCTGCAGTTGAGCCGAGTTGGAAATGTGAACGCAAGAAGCAGGCTTGATTTTTTTTTCTCCCCCCTTCTCTCTCTTTCTCTTCCTCTCTCCCTCTTTCTCCTTTCTCACCCGCACTCACGCACACCTCCAAACCGCACACCCAGACGCACACGCACACCCCACCGCCCGGCAGTTATGTATTCTCCGCTCTGTCTCACCCAGGTAAGCAGCTGTTTGGATGCGGCGGGGTGTGTGGCAGGGCGGGGGGCGCGGGGGCGCGGGGGCGCGGGGGCGCGGGCGCGGGGGCAGCCCCGGGGCCGGGCGCGGGGTGCCGGGGACCGTCGCGCTGGCCAGGCCCGGGGCATGAGCCTTGCTGTGTGCCCGTGTCTGCGCGTGTTTCTGTGTGTGTGTGCGCGCGTGTGCTCGTGTGTGTGTTGGGGGCAGGCGGGGGGGGGGGGAAATGCAGCTCTAAGAAAGTAACTTTGTTTCCACGCGGGTGCATTCCTCTTGCACGGCCATTTGTGTGGGCACATGGCTAATGGCGCCCTCTTATTAATGCGTTAATTAATATCGGGGCGACTGACTGCGGAACGGCGGTGTTTTCGGACGCCCCGCACGTGTTTCGGCGGGGTTGCAGCCCATGACACGCTGAAATCTGGACTCAGCGTTTCTGCAGCCGGCAGGCCGGTGTCTGTAGTTCCGCGGCTCCGGGGAGGGGGCCGCCCACCGAGCCCGCCGCGCGCCCCGCACGCTCCGGGCCACGGAAGCCCCCGGTGCGGGGGAACTCGCGCCCCTGCGCCCACGGCCCGCGCGCGGAGCCCGCGCCGCCGCAGCCTCCCCAAACTCTTACTTTTGTTTATTGTTTGTCAGCCTTTGGGGTCCGGCCGCGGGCGGGACGCGGGCGGGCGGGCGGGCGGGCCGGCGCCCCGGGCCCGGCCGGGACAGCGCCCCTCGGACGCGGGCGGGCGGCGGCGGCGGCGGCGGCGGCGGCGGCGGCGGCGAGCCGGCCCCCGGGCTCGGCGGAGCGGGCTGCGTGGACGCGCGTCCCCCGGCGCCGGCCGGGTGGAGCCTGCGTCCTTGCCGCTCGTCCGTCGCCCGCTCGCTTTCCCGAGTGAAAGTTTCGGTGCCGGCACGAGCCCACGCCGCGCAGGGCTGCGAGCCGCGGAGGCCGCGGGCCGCGGGCCGGGGAGCGCCGGGCGGAGTTGGGCTCCGGGCCGCGAGCCCGAGCAGCAACCCGGGCCGGACGCGGCTCCCCCGCCGCCGCCGCCGCCGCCGCCTCCCGCCGCCGCCTCCCGCCTCCCGCCGCCGCCTCCCGCCTCCCGCCGCCGCCGCGCGACTCGGGCAGCTCCGCGCGCAGGACGGGGGCAACTTTTCCCCTCCGACTCTGCTCCGACCGTGGGTCCCTCTCGCCCCCCGCCCCTCCTTCCCAGGTCCTCCCTTTCCATCCCTCTCTTGTCTGCACCACCCCTGGGCAAAATACTGCTACTCCACGGCCCCAAATCTGGTCCCTTTTGAATATATTATTTATTTTCTTGGACTAAAAGGCATGAAGTCAAAGTGATTTTTGCGCTTAAAAAATTTTTTTTTATATTTATTTATTTTTTTTGGGAAAAAAGTGTGAGCTTTCATACTGTTTTGGTACGTTGCAGTCTGACCATTAATCACCTACATGAAGTTGTATGCTCCATATAAAATGTTTATTTATCACTCCCTTAAAAAAAAAAAAACCTGCTGCCACTTATTGCTTTCATTTAGCAGGAGATAACGGTTTAACCCGAATACTTTATGGAAGGTTAAAAAGTACCAGTGATTTTTTTTTTCCCCCTTTCCTCTCTAGATTCTGGATTTATTTCTCACATGACATCCTTTCTTATTGCAATATCTAACAGGAATAATACCGGTATTTGATCTCAGAAGACTCTTAAATGCATCTTTTATGTTGAAATGATCTGTTTGGGATTTAGGCCTAGCATTAGTAATGGGTAGCAGTTGCTTTGAGTTATTGTAAAAGTTTTTTATTTTTCCCTAACAAACTTCCAAAGTTCCTATTTTAGGAACTTGTGGAAGTGTGGAATGAAACTTTTCCAACCACTTCTGGCAAGGTTCACAATTGCATATGGATAAGATGCAAAGTGTAAGAGAATTTGAATGAGTTATGACTACAGTGGAAATGCTGAGATTCAAAGGCTGAGGTTCTTGCTGGCAAAAGTTTGCAGCAGAGAGAACTTGTAGACAATACCAGGGTGCTGCAATAATGGGGCATGACCTTAGCAGATACATGAACGTCTTCTCAAGTGAGCTCTCGAGAAAGATAAATTTATATTTTGGGTTGGTGCATATATAAGGATACCTGTGTATCCATGCAGGCCCAGGGCATAGTCAGGTACTTGACAAAGCTGGATTCTCTTGGCTCATGAGCCATTAACACATTAAGAAAGTTTAAAAAAAAAAAAAAAACAACAACCATATTTGGCAGCGTGATTGATACACTCCCTAGGCCTTCTTCTGGAAACACCAGTAAAAGAAACACTGAGTATAACAGTTTGTGAAGAAATTGTACACTAACTAGTGAATGAGAAGAATTTTTAATTCTTCTCTTAAAAATTGATTTACAATTTTATTTAACTTGCTGGAATGCTTGCAAAGCTTTAGAACCAGTTTTAAAAAGAAAAACTTAGGTAGTTTATTGGTCATTAAAGAAAAAGTCCAGTAAGCACAGTGATAGAAGTACTCTAAATGAAAGAATAAACTCCATGTACGTGTATGCAATTTTTAAAACTTTATCAGGAAAATGCCAGACATCATCTTTTAATCCATATAAGCATGTCATAGCCAAATCATTTATCTGGCCATAGAACGATACCCCAGTAGAAATTTATAGGTGAACCTTTAAAAGTAGTTCTAGAAATATCAGCGTTTAGTGGTTCTTAAACTTGGCTTACTTACAAACAGATCAACATATAAGATGCTGATTCAAAGTCATACCGCTTTTGAAACAGGTTTTCAGGTTTGTTTTCATTGGTGGCCTATAACTTTCTCACTGAGTACATATGTAAAATATTCTTTATTATCTCCCAAATATCTTGAAATATTACGTGGCTTATGGTAATATGTGCAGCAACATGCTTAATAGGGCTATTTATATATATATATATATTTTTTTAAATTAATTTATGCTGTGCCTTGACATTTCCTACAAGTTAACGATATTCTTTACTTTTGATGGTCTGGAGTATTTCTAATTGTGAGTTGAGAAAGATGATTAACGCTTTGATAGTACATGTGAGTAAAGTTATACAAAATATTGTGCACTTTTACTGGCACATTCTTGAAACCTTTGGGGAGTGATAAGTTGTAAATACTTTTGATGCAGAATTGGGGACTTAGATTATTCTTAATAATTAGTTGACAGAGTTGGCCTCATTTAAGGGCTTTTATGGTGAGATATATAGGCATTTGGTTGGCAGGTAAACAAAATCCTCTTGAACACGAAATGAACGCAGTTCGCAGTCCTGTGAGCAGCTCACTTAGGAGTATCTTCAAACACTTAAATGCCATATTAGAATGGTTTTAAAAAAATGTTTATTATTATTATTAAAGCTTTTGAGTAAGATAACATTTTAACATAAATGTGAATTGTTTGGAACTTAGTTGTTCTTTGCTTTATAAAATGGGCCTGAGATTTTAAAATGAAATCTTTTGGTGAAAGCTCACTTTGTAGTTAAGGTAGACTCCAGGAGTTCTTAACATAATACCACAGAACCTTGGTCCCTAGCATGTCCTGTAAAAAATCAATCTATGTGAAGGACTGTTTCAATTCCAAATTTTATGTATTTTAGAGCATTTCAAGGATGAGCCCAGAATTTAGTAATGTTTAAATGCTTTGCGGTGTGGCGTATACCTTGTTAGATAAACTGTGACCTGAAAAAATCCCCCTTCTCTCTTTTAAATTATGGCAATAAGAAAGATTCTTAAACAT